CATTTTCCACCCGCTCATGCGGTTGTACACACACAGAGAGCAAACTTGGCTCATCTGGAATGCAAAGCCACCCGTTCTTCCCATTCAACCCCAGCTCGTTCAAGCGTCTTTCTTCTGGGTGGCGCCAAACAAAAAGTGCCATACATCTCTTGGGATCCTAGCTGATTCAAAAGCCTTTGCCTGTTCCAAAAAGTAAGAGAAGCACTGGGCTCGGTCAAGGATGTTGTCTCTCACGTCCTTGTCCAACACTGACAGGAAGGAGGTAGAGGTGACTTCTTGAATGTAAATGCTCATTACTCTGTAGCTTGCCCAGCGCCCGCGGCGCATCACCAAGTCTCCACTTTCAGTCAGTTGTAATATGTGCATTGCTCCGCCTGGGCGGAGCGATCCCAAGTCAAGTGCTCTCATCCCTCTGTAAGTACTTGTTGGAAGTCGTTGGGCTTGTAGTAGGCTCTTGAATCTAGACCTGAGCGTTTGAGCGCTCATGTCCCAAAGAGGTTCGGAGGGCGCTAACTTCTGGAAGGCGAGCTCTGCCAGCTGCACCAAGTCTGGAATGTCGAGCTTGGCACACTGGTGCCTCGCGGTTGTGTGCCTTGTTTTCGGCTCCTTTATGGAAAGGAGTGCAAAGGGCACACTTCCTGCCAGATCTGACGGCAGCTGCAGGTCTTGGCGTCGGGCTTGTAGGAGTTCACCTGCCCGTAGTAAACCTCCCCATGTTAGGGCTAGGCAGCCTGCCAGACGCACCCAACCCCAGATCAAGCAGACTGAGATGCAGCTCATCAGAACCTGGGGAGACATAGCTGTATGGTGTGTAGATGGTTCGGATTTGACCCAGCTATAGGCCAGGTCCCAGGCCCCTTGAAGGGCCCTTCTCAGCTGTGGCTTCCAGGATGCTATTGCATTTATGGTCTCCGAGAAGTGGTTGAGTGGCCTGCCGGCCCGATACAGCTCACGGCCGTACGCTGTCAACAAGATGTTGATTTCTTCAACTGTCTGATAGGTATTGTGAAAAAGGTCACCAGGTTCCAACCCCCTTGTCAGCAGCCAGGCTCTGAAGGCCTCCAGAAGTTCCTCTCGGTGCTTGGCGGTGATCTGCAGTACAGGTCGTCCTGAAGCTAAAGGTAACTTCTGGGCTCTGTGCTCAGCTCTCGCTCTATCTCCAGAGTTTCGTGGTTTCAGTGGCATTCCCATGGCGTATCGCGGCCCCCCCCCCAAAATGGCTCCTGAAATCCACAAGAGAGGCGCATCTCGCTTGCCCTGAAACAAACAGAGGAGTAGGAGCAGAGAGATGAAGAGGAGTGGAGAAGGACCTTCTCCAGGGAAACCCAAGGTTCTATCAAATTCCAGCCGACAGTTATGCAGAACCGTGTGCCGAGAAGCAGGATCGAAAGTGCCTGGCCCCTCCCCTGGGTATCCAAGGGTCTGATCAAAACCTTTCTCGAAGTGTGTTTGAAGCGACGGTCTGAAATCCAAGGCACAGGGCGATCGAAAGCGGCTCCGATCCTTTAAGAAAACAAGGCCGGGCCCTAGCAAGCTGAGCATCAGGCGGACCCAATTTGCGCTCCAACGTCTAAGGCCGGCGCAAGTTGAGAGGCAAGTTCGCCCTCCGAAAAACTAAACAAGTCACAGCCTTGAATGGGGCTTCTCAGAGCGGCTCCTCTGGTTGGGTCGTCTGATGGGTTTAGTCTAGTGGGACAAAAAGGTAAACAGATCTGCACGCCCGCTGCTAGGCACAAGGCATTTACCTTAGCAATGACAGGCATCAGACCTTTCGAGGAAGTGCGTCCCTTAGAGACTGCGCACCTCACAACATTGGAGTCGACCAAAATGGCTGCCCTCTGAGGTCCCCACTTCAAAATCAAATGCTCAACTACCTTAAGGACTGAGACAGCTTCTTGGATATTAATGTGGACCGGGCGACGAAAAGGCCAGGACCTCAGGGTAGACCAGGGTGCTTCAAGAGCAACCTGGTTCACTAAAGCATTCGCAAGCCCTGCCGTCTGGACTTGATCCCACTCGAGATCTGCGCTGGCCCTGGCATTGATGGCCTCTGAAAGGACAGTGGCCAGGGCGTCGGCCAGCCCACCAGTATACATGGCACTAGCCTTCGTGAGTTTTCCTTCGATCACTACATGCCTGCCTTTGCAGACGCATCTCTGACGGATACGGTCGAGGGGAGCCCAAACGCTGAGGAAAGCAAAAGGTTTTAAGTGAGGGGATCCAAAACGGCACGAATCGGTTCGACAAAAGTCCACGCACCTTTTGGCCCTAAGAGTCTTATAAGGTGGGAGAAACTTCATCTTAGATGAATACGTAGTTTCAAGCCACCCTGGGACCCCGTGTCTCCATCCCAACTCAAGGCACTGCAAACCACGAAGGGCAAGCGCGGTGCCTGTGTGGGTTTGTGGATGGCTAGGATCGAAGCCATATGGTCTTTCTTTTGACCTCAATTGCGGCCGTCGCATGATGCAAAAAGTAGTACACGGCGGTTCGCAGGCAAAACTTTTTATGGCATGACTCTGAATCAAATGGCTTAACCATGACATCAGATAATGGCTAGTCATATCATATTCGGGGCTGTGACTCAAGTCAATGGGGGGCCCCACTGACCAGCCTTTGGCTTCCATGGAATGGGTGACCTTTGCGGCTCCTGCGAAAAGTTCTATAAAGTCAAACCGATAGGCCAAGGGCCTTCTGATCGAGGTCGGCTTTACCTCTTCCTTCCCTTCGAACTCTTCCGAGCCTCCGAGCTTAAAGATCTCCGCTTCAACCGGGGACATCATGCGTGTGTATGCACCCTTTGACTTACAGGCTTTCCAAAGCACTCTCGAGACTGCACGCGGCACAGTGGCTGCACAAAACGCTCCCACATTACTTGAGGCATCACTACAGAAAACCTGAGTGCTGAACTCTGCACTAAGTTCGGCGCACATGAGTGGGACTAGTACCGAGGCCAGAACTAACTCGTTTGCGGTGGTCCTGGGCAAGCGGATGATCTTCGGATGCTTTGGGTCAATAGAGGCACTGTCGACCAAGCTGAAAACTTTGTGGAAGAGCCCCATAACAGGCCTCCTATACATGGCTGCAGAGATCCACCCTCCTACCAAGCAAACATGCAACGCATCGGTGGTGTGTGTGAGTGTGGCAAGTTGCAAACTAATCACTGATAACGCAATCCGTTTTTCGATCGGGGCGGACAGGGTGACCAACCCCTGATCCCTAGCGGTTGAGGATGAGTTCACGACCGCACCTACGATTTTCGCTTTATCACTTAGGATGTCCTTCTCCGGGCTCCCCAACAGCTCGGCCTGCCTAAGGCAGCCCGTGCTGTGCCTATCTTCTGGCTGGCTTTTGAGGCCTGCAACGGAGTGCCTACTTGCTCCAGGCTCATAGCAAAGTAGTCGTCTATGCACAGTCCTTCACAGTTCTCCAGGTCAAAAAGAGGCTTACAACTCTGCAGCTGACAACTCTCCTCTAGAAGGCCATGAGATTGTAAAAGTGCTGTATGAGCGCTGGTGGCTATATCAACCCCTGCATGATCCCCCTGAAGGCCACAAAAAGTTGCTGAGGCTTCCTCTGCGCTGCTCTCAGGCCTTTCATCCCCAGGCGGTCTCCGTGAAGGCTTCGTTGGTAGCGCCCTTTTGCCTGGCGCAAGATGTAATCTGAATAGGCCTTGAGGTTCTTTACATCTTCGATCTCAACCGCAGGGCCTACCGTGTTCGAAAAAGCGCGACTTCTAGAGACATGGAACTGGTGATAAAAATCTTTGCGATCAGTGACCCCCTGTGCACTGTAGTGGGTCTTGGGGTTGCAATACCAGTCTGACAAGTCAGGCCCAGAGGGGAGAAAAGTGCTCGGACCTCGCACACGGCTCTCGCAGCTATTTCTAGACCTCCGGTCTCCGATCTGTCTGTCCATCTTGGCATTTTTGTAGGTGTTGAACACCCTTGTAAAACACTGTGGGCTCAGCTCAAAATCCTTGCCGTCATGTAAGTACAACAAATCTTGATTGTCCCAAAGTCTCGCCAGCGCTGCCACTTCCGAAGGATGGTCAGAAATTGCTGGGACCTGTGACGGACATGGTTCTTGGCTGAACAAAAGAGAGGCCGGCTCTCTGTAGGCCAGTACTAGCTCGTCCTCGAGATACTCTGTGGCATCCCATGCCCCTCTGCCTGTTAAAACCAGTCTGGATGAGTCCAGGTTCCTGTATGGTTTCAACTCATCAGCCTCCGTATCCGGAAGCACTTCAAAGCCATCGAAGCTTCGGTCATAGGGGTTACAGGAGGGCCCCATAGCCGTCAATGCCACTGAAAGCTCTGACAACCTTGCAACTAATTGAGGTAACCTACGGCCAGAGTTTGCAATACATGGAATCGCAACTTGGCCCTCTGACCTTATCAAGCTCCTGATCCTCGCATAAAGGCTCCGGTGCGAAGTAGAAGGAGCTCTCCCCAACAAATCCAGCTTGCATGGGCCACCATTGTGGTAGTAGTTCAAAGCCAAAACAATGATGTGGACTGCACGATTCAAGTGGACCTGTCTACGCCTCTTCTGAGAGAGGTCTGGGGGCATCCGTGCCCAGTGCTCACCTGTAGGGAGCGGGACCGGGAAAAAGGCCAGTGCCGTACTGAGGTCAGTACGATGCAGGTGGAAAGTCTGAGCCAAGTGGGCAGCAAAAGGAGTCCTCGTCCTCAAGACTGCCGAGGTCAAGCATGCGCACCACTTTGTAAGCGTCATGTCTTGTTGCAATGCATTGAATTTTGCTTCATGGTTGTACTTGCTGAAGACGTGTTCTCCAGGTCTAACATGCTTTGAATTCTCCTGACCTTTGTCGACAGGAGGTGCTGGTTGCGCCTCTCCTGTCAGCTGGCCAGCCTCATTGTTCACGCCTGTGTCTGGCTGCCCCCCCCCCTTTGGGCTTCTTCGGGAAGCGGGGTCTGCGTTTTGGAGAGGCTTCCCCCTCCTTCTGCTCTTGCGAGGTCTGTTGACCGGTCTTCCTTCCTCCTCCCTCTTGTTTCTTGCTGGTCATGATGTCGATGTCCTTGAGATAGGCTAGAAGGACCCCCCCCACACGGCAGGCATGAGGGGGGCGAATGGCTTGGCAACTGACAGTGGGGTTCCCTTCTCTGCAAAGAGCACCGGAGGAGGCTCCTCCACCAGAGTCACCAGGAACGCTGTCGTCCAACTCTGATCCAGAGCAGCTTGGTCTAGGGCGGCTGCAAACAAAGCCAGGTGCTCTTTTACACCATCGAAGTCTTGTGCAATGGCAGCATCTATGATGTATCCAAGGACCCACAAAATGGTCCCCAGCTCCCGAGACTGCTTGTAGGCGCCATGTCTCTCCAGGTAGGCCAGGAAAGACAGGCCTGCATCCTTTGCAGCCTCCTCCGTTGTAGGAACTGGCTTTGAGGGATTCATCTTCCTGGACAGCTGCTGCAGGAATGCAAGCCAGTACTGACTTTGGCGCAAGGCCAGGTCTGTCTGCATTCTTTCTCTCCTGGCAACGCCTCTTGTAGAAGAAGAACTTCCCGACAGGCCTCCTGCTTGCAGATCCACCAAAGGGTCCGACGCATGACCCGCCAAGTGCGAGACCAAGGTGGTCAGGGCCGTGCTTTGCTGGGCTAACGCACTGAGCATGGGATGAGTCTCTATCTGCGCTGGAAAGAGATCTCGTGGTTCCTCTGGTATGAACGGGTCTGGTAGCGCTAAGGCCCCTTGAGCCGGGGGAGCTTTTCTGGTCTTGGGCGGTGGCCCCACCATTGCGGCTACCTTCTTTGCTGTGGCTTCCTTGGGATGACCTAGGTGGGCAAAGCCTTGCCCCAGGGCCGGAAGCTGTGGGTATGCGTGTCTGCTGACGCCAGGCGATTGTCCTCCGGCAGGCTCTGCATATGTGACAGCCGCCTTGGCGGGCTCTGTAGGCGCTTGACGTTGCAATGCCATCAGGGCCTCCACCTGTGAGGAGAGGGATGCTACCTGCTCCGCCAGGACTGCATTTGTGATCTTCTTGGGGGTGGCCTTCTTCGCAGCCGCTTTTGAGCGTACAGGAGTTTCTGCCGGCTCTTCTCGAGCCGAGTAAAAATTTAGCCTGCCCTGATCTTCTTCTCCCATCCAGGCTTTGGCAGCGGCAACCAGAGAGGCAGCTGTAGGCAATGCTAGGGGAAACTGATCATCAAAAGGATGAATCGTCTCCAGTGAGTCCGTCACTGGATCATACTCCCTAAGAGCCTGCAGTGCCTGGTTCGACACATCCACCAAGAGGACCAGGATCTCCTGGTCTATCATGACCTCTTGGCCATTCTCATCTTCCTCGCTGAGCTGAGCGACACATGTGTGAGAAGGCCCCAAAAGTTCGTGCTCGTCTGCATGTGCTGCTGTCTCCAGAGCTTCATTCGAAAATGACTCCACTGGTAGTGCAACCAAAAACCCCCCGTCCCTCTGCAGGACAGGTATAGCGAAAACCTGCAAATTTCCTCCGGTTTTTGAAACCTCCGAAGGGATTGAGAACACTAGGAGATTTGGGTCCCCTACTTCCGCGAGGCGGAGGCTGGACCTTTGCATCGCTTCAGTGGAGGCACGCACGCAGAACACTTGCACCTCAATGAATGATGGGAAATCCTCAATGATAGCTGTGTCGTCCTGAACTGCCAAGGCACGGAGGGCTTCACGCTTGGTGGTTGTCCTAAGAGCTTGACTAAGTCCCAGACCCCGGATGACTACGAAATGAGCGCTTGGGAGCGCAGGCACCGCGTCTGCTGGTCTATAGTGCAGCCCGGTCACTCTGGCCACCCAGGCCAAATGTCCCTGAGTGAAAGCCCTCTGAGCTCGTTCCAGGGGGGAAATGGATGCAACTGACTTCAACCTCTCCTGACACAAATCCGACAGGTACCTAGGCACGGAGGGTATCGGCTGTGCCTGCGGGACCTGACTTGCGCCTGGGTAGGGGAATTCCAGGTCTGACACCCCAAGGGGCAGGTTCCCTTCCTCGATCACCTCCCACTCTAAATCCTCGTTCGCTGAACCTTCCAGCTCGTTCAATCGCTGGGCCAACTGCTTGACTCTCTCTCCTATGGATGCAAGATCCTCAGAAACTTTGAGCAACTCAGCACGAAGCGGAGCTAACGAAGCCTTAGTGCTCATGCAAGTACCCCCTCAACCTATTCGAAGCCCGGCGCACGACCGGAGACTGAGAAATCCAAGGCCGGAAAGCAGGTAAATGCCAAAGAAAGAGACAACCACAGATGGAAACCAGGGATATGCAAACCAGGATACCTGTAGCAGATCCAAAAACGAACGGGGCGAGAACGCTCGGATGACAGTGAGCTGGGCAAGCGAGGTATGTGGAAGCCTGCAAGAGGGTGACGAGACCCCCCACCCAGTGTTCCATGAAGCTTGAGAAGACGAGTTGCGGCGTTCGTGGATATTCGATCAGTGATACGCATGTATATATATATACACATATGAGCCACGGTCAAAATTTACTACTAAATCAAAGGACGTCAGGATTTGGTGTTTTCGTTTTATCAAGGTTGTGTATGTTATCGCTTTTTGGTGAGTGGAGTGCATTATCTTTGAATTTTAAAGCTGGAACGTAAATTTTGAGATCTCATGTCCCTCTCTTTACTTGTGTAGCCTTCTGTAAATTTTGACAGTGCCCTATACACCTCAACTAACTTGTCTTGCATCGTCGTAGCCTGTCCTTAGATACCCTGCGGCGGGTTTCACACTTCTTGTGGTTATAGTATATATATATATAGGTAAATCCTTTTGTTTTGTCCGCCACGACATCTTCTCCACAATTTTGAGCCCATGTTTTCTTTCATCCAACCACCTTCCCCGAAGCTTCTGCGGAAAGGCGACCTCCATGACGAACCACTTGCTCAGATGAGGCTCCTGGACATGAAGGACTTCGCCTTCACATGGACTGTGCCTTCTCCGAGCGACTGCAAGAAGGCCTCCTCCCCCAAACGGAGGAACTCCGGACACTGGAACTGCTCGCGGAGAAGGACCTGTGGCAGGTGTCACGGGCGCATGAAGGCCCCAGCGCGTTTCGGAAGAGGTTGGTGAAGCACTGACCATGTGGACAAATGGGAGGAATTCAGAACTCTGATGCAGTATGATCTCGAACAGTTCATGTTCACGCTTTCCGTGGGGTTATAACAAGCTCAGCAGCTCAGGTTTCAGTTGCTCTTGTCCAGATTCGCCGCCGTGGTTTTGACTACGCTGTGTTTCACACCATCTCGAAACGACACGAATCGTGGTCGTGGTGTGTCAATCTGCTAAGACTATGAGTTGTGCCATGTAGTGGAGATGTCTTTAAGGGTTCCTTCTAAACTCATCAATGCCAAAACCAAAGAAGTGTGACCAACAAAATTGACCCCGATGGGTTCTTTTCTCGTCTATGGTGTGACCTACTGACCTACTGCGAACTTCTGACATCATCTCATATATGAATCATGGTTTCAAGGGACACACACACACACACACCAATGTATGGTTCCCAAACGTGATCGGAAGATGCTTTCTCTGCAGCAAGTGAAGGCTATGCTGGTTTGGAGGATTTCTTTGCACGACTTGACCAAGATCCAGGTCGGGTCTAAAGACAAGGACGGAATGGGTTCCCCCGCTGGTCGCTGGGCGGAGCCTGGGTAAATTGCAGGATCCAATATCCAACTACTTATATCATATCCGGTGATGTCTGTTTGCTTAATCCGATTTGACATGTTGATCCTACTGTAGAAACGGTTTTACGTCATTTGCTGAATCATTCATCGATCCAGATTTCAAACGTCCTTTTCTGATTGACAAACCGTATGTATCTACCCCCGCGCCAATGACCAGCACACTACCTTTAGACCAACCACTGCTGAAATGGACTTGAGGGAAAAGGCGTGAAGGCAACAAACCCTTGCTTAAGCTGGACCCATCCCCCACTCATGTTGCTGAGCAGTGGCAGGCTGAGAGGCCAGCACATGTTGCCACAGTTGCTGCTTGGACATGGCTGGTTTGATAACGATTGCAAGACCTCGGGTAAGGGCAAGTGGTAGATGGGACTTACATGTATCCTGGGTGATTCCTTGTGAACATAGAGTATGGAGATGGGAAGCTGCAAGCCGTGTTGGCCTATCTTCCCAAAACATGTGCTTGCAAGCTTGGTGTGGAGCTTCCATCATTGCCTCACCTGACCTCGAACTGACGCTTGCTGAACTTGTTTTCACTTGTGACTAAGGAATGCTTTGCGGATCTGACAGGAAGTGCCAACAAGTTGGGAGAGGTTTGGATGAACAGAGCCTCTGCTCATTGAGGGTATGGTTAAAACATAAAATTGAGGGATCATCATTCTCCACGGGCTACTGCTGAACACACAAGGTTCCTTGGAGACCTTGCACACTCTTGCACAAGCCTTGGTTTAAAAATAGAAAACAAACACACATTATGTTGATATATTTTGAAATATTCCAAGGGTAAAAAGTGAGAAGTGGATAAAAACTTTGTTTTAACCACAATTGTTTAAATCCAATCATTACACTTAAGTTCAAAGGGTCTTCACGAAACATAGTGGTTAAACAAAAACGTAAGAAGTTCTAGAGATGTTACAATGTTCAGGAAAAGGTCATGCTCCCAAGCAGACTAGATGCCCAACACACTTTTCTCTCACTGCTATTGTTGCTTCAGAGGTTGTTGGGACAATTATCACCAACGCTTGACATCAGGCCAAGAGTCTCTGCATATCAGAAATGACGGTCTAATGTTGTTCAAAGGCGAGAAACAAAAAAA